ATGCGTCATGTAGTGGAGGTGATATAGGGCTGTATGTGAAATACATTTGTATATGGATTTCATTCAGTCGCTTGAGTTTTTCTGGTCAGCTGGGTAAAGTAATGGTGGTGAATACAGAAACACATGAACAGAAGTGACAAGAAAATCCATTGATCGTTGGGTTTGATCACAGAAAACACGACACCTTTTTATGTTTTTATATATATATATATATATATATATATATATATACTGTATATTGTGTTCACAGTTCATCACACACTGGCAGTAATGCAGTTCTTTGTGCATGTGCTTGTTGATCTGTGTCAGGCTTCATAACTCATTTCAGTTGAAGATTTTAATGGTCAAAGAAAATAAAAATATCAATGGGTGAAATCAAATGACAAAAACTAGAAATATCACATCCGTTGGATTGAGTGCAGTACGGTATAGTGTTAATATATCGTTTATTTATCGATTGATTTCATATCAAATCAGACCTCTTAAACTGTTTTTGATCTTTCACAAGCCAAATTATTTTGAAAAAGGTTCAACATAACCTTGCACAAGCATCAGATTTGTATTTTTACGCACTGATTTAAAGTATGAGACAATGACAGAACAGCATGAAAATGATCAAACTGTGCAATTGTTCAAGGAATACTTGGCAAAATAATGTGATCTATGAGAGAAAGTGTTTCACTCCAGAGAACAAGAAACACATGTGACCCTGGAGCACAAAAGCAGTCACAAGTGTCGATAAGTGAGATTTATGCATCATCTGAAGCTGAATAAATAAGCTTTCCATTGATGTATGGTTTGTTAGGACAGGACAATTTTAGTAAATTTCCTACCGTAAATATATCAAAACTTAATTTTTGATTAGTAATATGCATTGCTAAGAACTTCATTTGAACAACTTTAAAGATGATTTTCTCAATATTTAGATTTTTTTGCACCCTCAGATTCATGATTCTATTATATGAATAGATTAAATAGATTTACATTTACAGTTAACAACACTTAAAAAATCTCCTTAATATCAAGTATTTTTAAAGAAATTGTATTTAAATTTTTGTATTTTTTCTTTCTGTATTCTCTTGTAGTTCTCTGGAATGCTGTATTTTTGTTGTAGTGGAATAAACATCTCCCTCCAGTCCATTAGGGGGCGGTAATGCCGATCTATAGGCGGCTTGTCAACTGCAAAAAGGCAGAAGAAGACACTGAAGCACCAACTGGTTTATGGAGCATTAATTAAATCTGCGGATTTTTTCATTGTAAAAATGGAGCGTATTAAATTAGAGATCATGGATATGAATGAGGCAGAACCATGTAAAGTGAAAGATGAAGATGCTGAGGAACAAAGAGGTTGGTGTTCATTCATGATGCTAATGTTTACTTATGATGAATATTAAACTAATAAATGCCCAGAATTGATACTTGCATAACAGAGAACCCTGTCAGTCGGTACAAGTTTAATATTAAAATTAAAAAGCAGAGCGCAAACCATTACATTCAATTGCTGTAGTTCAGATATAATAACCAATACTCAAACATTTAAATTTAACATAATGTCGTTTTCATCAAAATGTCATGACAGATTTATTCAAACATGTAATGAACAGGTTGAGTAAATAAGGTATAACCAATTAACACTGAATAAATTTCAAATGTAACGTTACGTGACGTTTTTCCGTGGTTGAAACACAGTAACAATCTAATGTTCGGTTACATGAGAGCGGATACATTTGACTGTTACACTGTAACAAACGCGCGTTCTGAGGTTTGTTCATGTTTATCGGTGCAGTGAACATCACCAGGGTTACTTCTTTCTTGTCTTGCATTCTCATATTTTAAACAAGTCTTTGAATATCTAAGAAACTTGTAATTCTACAAACATCGCCAAAGTTGCTGAAGTGTAGCCTTCATTAGAAATGCGTGTATATCCGTCCATCTATTGGTCATATTCACTGTGTACTGTATGTAAAATTAGCCTTACCTGATCTTTGTTTGGGAAAGTATAATATGAAGTATGGTTGGGGTTACAGTGTGTACTTTTTATTTGTGTCTATTCTTCTTTATTTGTGAAAAATAAAATAGAAATTTGATATTGAATTTTACATTTTCAATTTTATTCCAAATAGACAGTAAAATTATGTACATTGTCTTGAAGTTGTATAGCAATTGTCTTTCAGATTTTTCTTTTCATTCTGTTTGACATTTGTCTCTTGAAATTAATTTAACTATTTAATGTGTTCACTTTAGGCCTGATGGAGCTGAAAGAGGAACGTCAAGAACTAAATGATATAGAGGAAAACCATCAAGAACCTCACAATTTCATAAATGGAGAAAAATCTGTGGCTTCCCCACACACTGACAAGAATTTCTCACAAAAAAGATCTTTAGTAAAAACTTCATTCACATGTGATCAGTGTGGAAAGAGTTTCATGCGTAAAGGAGTCCTGAACGATCACATGAGGATTCACACCGGAGAGAAGCCTTTCACGTGCCTTCAGTGTGGAAAGAGTTTCACTAATAAAGGAAACCTGAAGCTTCACATGGGAACTCATATGGGAGAAAAGCCTTACAGGTGCGATCATTGCGGAAAGGGTTTCATACGTCAAGGGTTTCTCAGTTATCACGTGCGAACTCACACAGGAGAAAAACCTTATTTATGTGATCAGTGTGGAAGGAGATTCACGCGCAGGCGACTCCTGAATGAACACATGCGAAGTCACACCGGAGAGAAGCCTTACATGTGCTCTCAGTGTGGAAAGGGTTTCTCACGTAGTGAAAACCTCAAGATTCACCTGAGAATCCACACCGGAGAGAAGCCGTTCAGATGTGATCAGTGCGGAAAGAACTTCATTCGTAAGCGACTCCTGAGCGATCACATGCGCAGTCACACCGGAGAGAAACCTCACGTGTGTGTGGAGTGTGGAAAGGGTTTCTCACTTAAAGAAAACCTTAAGTGCCACATGAGAATCCACACCGGAGAGAAACCTTACAGATGCGATGAGTGCGGAAAGAGCTTTCAATTTAAAGGAAAACTTAACCATCACTTACGAATTCACACCGGCGCGAAACCTTTCACGTGCAATCAGTGTGGGATGAGTTACACGCAACCGGACAGCCTGACATATCATCTGCGCTCTCATGCTGGAATAAAGCCTTTTAAATGCGATCAGTGCGGTAAAGCGTTTATTCTGGCCTCGCATCTGAAAAAACACATGAAGGCTCATGCGAATGAGAGGCCTTACTTCTGTTCTGTTTGTGGAAAGACGTTTTCACGGCTGGACTGTTTTAAAATGCACCATAAAGTTCACACCGGCGTGAAAGCTCACGAGTGCTCTGAGTGCGGGAAGAGTTTCAGAAGAGCCGGAGACTTGAAGATTCACCACAGAATCCACACCGGAGAAAAACCCTACAAGTGCTCGCACTGCGACAAGAGTTTCAGTCAGCTAGGACAGCTGAACATACACGAGCGAGTTCACAGCGGAGAGAAACCGTACCAGTGCCCTTCATGTGAGAGGGGTTTCAGCTCATCACGCACTCGACTGGTTCATGTGAGAAAGCACTGTACAAAGTTGGCAAAGTGAGCAATTTGCTGTAACCCAAAGATTAAATTTTCACCTACATCTACGACGGATGCAGGGATTAAAGTGTTCCGTCAGTTCATAAAGACAGTCACTTGCTTCATTCCTGAATGAATCAGCCGTTCGAACGAATCAATTGAATGAATGATTCAGTGATCAAATCTGTGACTTGCCGCCACCTGCTGGCGGATTTTTAGCGTATAATTTCAGTTATTTAAATCATTCCTGTATTCAAAATTTTATATTTAAAACATTAATCTCCACATGAATTTATGAATTTAATTGCACTCATGCCACCTCTGAGCCTCATTAAACGTCTGGAAATGTACCTACTAGCCTTTTTTGTGTTCTGTGCCACCTCTGTAGTACAAATTAATTTATTAATACTAATTTCATATGATTGGTAACTTATTTGTCTTATTAAAGAAATATTAAATGATTTAAATTACTGAAATTATACTAATATTATTATAGTATTACTTCTACTATTTTCTTCCAACCCTAGCAAGGGCCCTGATTTGTAATAACAAACTAGTGCATCAAAGTCAAAAAATAAAATGCTGTAAATTTGTCATCAGCAATGATTAGATGCACTAAAAAATATACAATCTAAAATAATTTAACACATGCTCTTTGATAGTAACACTTAAAATACCTTTAACAAGTAAGAATTTGAGTCTCTTCAATAATTACTCAATAAAGACATTGATGAATGAATGTGAATCAGTGAGTCGGTTGAGAAATGACTTGTTTTTTTTATTAATTATGCAGGTGTGCAGCTTTCAATGCAGGTTAGGAGAAATCTTCTGGAAGACTTTATATTTTTAGTCCTAAACACCAAAAAAAGCAGAAAATCCCCACATGAATCAACGAATCAACTCCAAACCAAGTTTTGGTTTGCAACAGATCAGGCTTCATTTTAATAAAGTGACGGTCAGATACTTTAACACAAACAATTAAGAGCAAAGGTTGGACGGCAGGCGACATTCATAAACACAAGCCACTGACAGGCAGACAAGAAAGACAAATGAATGCAAAAGAGAATTTAAGGACGTGACCGAACCAGGACTGTAACAGTGAGAATGATCAAGCTCTGCAAACACGTGACCATACAAATGATGCATTTGTGTCCGAGATCCGGTTCAGTTTCAGGCTTGAAACTCCGTCTGGTGGAGTGAAGAGGAGTTTAAAGGCACATTTTTAAACAGTTCCAGTTTGTAGTGTTGCTATAAACCAGGTTCAGTATACACAAACAACAACATATAATGCTTTCATTAAAACAGCAATCAACAGTTTACAATAAAGCTGTAAGATAAAATGTTACAAAAACGTATCTAGAAGTAGATTTGTTCTCTGTGCTCACTGAAGAAGTCACTGCATGCTACTTTACTTTGCTGATGCTACTTTTACTTACACAGTCAGAAGCACTAAAACTACACAGCTGACGTGTTTATTAAGTGACTTATTTACATGATTAATGTAACCTACTCGAGCATAAACTAGCACACATTCAAGCTTGATTGATTTTATAGTGTACTGAAATCACTTCAGTACTGAAGAGCTATGATTAACAAAATTACATTTCAAAGATGTTAGAAAGGTAACTACACTGATGTCTGTATAGTTTAAAGGTGACATATCATGAAAATCTGACTTTTCCAGGTTTTAAGTGCTATAATCAGGTCCCCGG